GGTGATCTCCACTGAGAACTTCATGGTGATCTCCACTGAGAACTTCATGGTGATCCAAGTTCCAAGTTCACTTAAATCTCAAAACTGTAGTCCCTCCAAGATATTTGAAGTTAGATGTTTTACTGATACTACGTGTCTCTGGGACTGTACTTCACCTGAACACGTATTATTTAACATAGGAAGTATTTTTAACTCCCAGTGAAGGATTCTGGGTAATCCAGACTCTTTTTACCCCATTTATCCAATTAGCAGCCCCAACTAGAAGGAAATCTCAGTCGGTTCTACCCCCACTGACCCCCACTGACCCCCACTGACCCCCACTGACCGGGCCAGTAAGACCATAGAGAGTTGACCTTTGACCTGAGGACAGAGGAGACATCAGTGCTGTCTCAGTGAGGTCTTTTTATCTATGTTGATATAATTTACTGTTTGTCATCTCCCCTCTCTCTCTCTCTCCCTCTCTCTCTCTCTCCCTCTCTCTCCCTCTCTCTCTCTCCCTCTCTCTCTCTCCCCCCCCCCTCAGATGGATGAGCTTCAGTGGCCAGATGGGCAGCAGGACGCCCCCCCCTCCATGTGCAGTCTGCCTTGTAAAACCGGAGAGAGGAAGAAGAGGGTGAAGGGGACGCCGTGCTGCTGGCACTGCGAGCTGTGTGACGGATACCAGTACCAGTACGACGAGACTTCCTGCCGACTGTGCGCCTACAACATGCGTCCCAGCTCCAACAGGACGTCGTGTCAGTCCATCCCCGTGGTCAAGCTGGAGTGGCACTCCCCCTGGGCGATCATCCCCGTCTTCCTGGCCATGCTGGGCATCGTCGCCACCATCTTCGTCATAGCCACCTTTGTGCACCACAACGACACGCCCATCGTGCGGGCGTCGGGACGGGAGCTGAGCTACGTGCTGCTGACGGGCATCTTCCTGTGTTACATCATCACCTTCCTCATGATCGCCAAGCCTGACGTGGCAGTGTGCGCCTTCCGGAGGATCTTCCTGGGCTTGGGGATGTGCATCAGCTACGCCGCGCTGCTCACCAAGACCAACCGCATCTACCGCATCTTTGAGCAAGGAAAGCAGATGGTGACGGCGCCCCGCTTCATCAGCCCCACCTCTCAGATCGCCATCACTTCCAGTCTGATCTGTGTGCAGCTGCTGGGCGTCCTGGTGTGGTTCGCCGTGGACCCGCCCAACACCATCGTGGACTACGACGAGCAGAAGACCGTTAACCCCGTGCTGGCCCGTGGCGTGCTGAAGTGTGACATCACGGACCTGCAGATCATTTGCTCGCTGGGCTACAGCATCCTGCTGATGGTCACCTGCACCATCTACGCCATCAAGACCAGAGACGTTCCAGAAGACTTCAACGAAGCCAAGCCCATCGGCTTCACCATGTACACCACCTGTATAGTCTGGCTGGCCTTCATCCCCATCTTCTTTGGCACCGCACAGTCGGCCGAGAAGGTGGGTCACCCCCCACACAGCCCCCCCCCCCGCCCCGAGTCAGTCTTTTATCGTTTCAAACACGTGCGTACTTGTCTCACTCCAGATGTCCCCATCCATTACTGCCCCCTCATGTCAGGATCAAAGGTCACCCTGAGGGTAATCTTCCACACCGTGGCTGTTTTACACCCAGTGTCCCGACGCTCCACGCCACTTTGACATGGGCCGCTCCTGGACTTGATTGAGAATGTGACCTTTGACCTTCTGCACTAGTCGTAGCTCGTAGTTAGCAGCACCGACAGAACACTGACACATTCACAGGGTTTGGGTCTGATGTGGCGGCAGAGCAGGGAAGGATTTCATAGGTCCATCTGTGGGGGCTTCAACCTCAGGTCAGCGGCCCGGCCTGTGACAGTCTGACTGACACAACAGTCAGATGGATTGGTCAGCTGACTGGGTGTGGTCAGGTCAGCTGACTGGGTGTGGTCAGGTCAGCTGACTGGGTGTGGTCAGGTCAGCTGACTGGGTGTGGTCAGGTCAGCTGACTGGGTGTGGTCAGGTCAGCTGACTGGGTGTGGTCAGGTCATCTGAGGCTGCGTGTTTTCCTCCTCAGTCAGATGTGAAAAATGAAAAGCCAACGTTTGATTCATAAATAATGATCCAGTCTCTAAGGTTACTAAGCAGTTGTGAAATACCTTCATGTATTTATTGATGTTAAAACATCAGACGTCAATTATGAATGTTCTGTTACAAGAACGACGTTCAGGAGGACGAGGAGAACCAAGAATCTGAACTCCAACAGGGACAACCCTGTCTCTGAGGACAGTTGGTCTGTGTCTCTGAGGACAGTTGGTGAGGACAGTTGGTCTGTGTCTCTGAGGACAGTTGGTCTGGGATGATGATGTCACATGGTCAGGTGACTGACTCTGTCCAACAGATGGACTCTGAGGACCTACATTTTTAACGTGATAATTAAACGAAGCTCCATCAGTAAGGTTGAGGCCCCCTGCTGGTCATAGCTGGGATCATCTCCAACCACAGTTGTTTTTTTGGTCAGTTATTATTAGGGTATTTCCTGTTACTGTAGTCAACACTGTGCTGTGATTGGCCACAGATGTGAGCTCATCAAATCTGATGTCTTTACTGTGTTTTCCACACTTGAAGCTGATTGGTTCCACTCTTGTGTTTTTCAGCTGTACATTCAGACGACCACCCTGACCATCTCCATGAACCTCAGTGCCTCAGTAGCCCTGGGCATGCTCTACATGCCCAAAGTCTACGTCATCCTCTTCCACCCTGAGCAGAACGTGCAGAAGAGGAAGCGGAGCTTCAAGGCCGTGGTCACGGCAGCCACCATGTCCTCGCGTCTGTCCCAGAAACCCAGTGAGAGGCCCAACGGAGAGGCCAAGACGGAGCTGTGTGAAAACCCTGCTGCTGACCCCATGAGTGAGTACCACGGAGGGACAGCGCCCCCTAACCACAAACATCCACAAACATCCTCCAAAGTCATTTTTAAAGAAACAGAGATTTGTACTTCCTGACTTCTCTCCGCTCTGAAACCACTCTGATCTCGACCAATCACAAGACGGTCCACACACAGACTGTTTCAGAGCAACTAGACAACACATTGGTCGGCGTGGTGACATCACATGACACACAATCAGACTGTAGCCCCGACGTGAGGGGGAAGAAGAAGAGGTGCAGACTGACGCAGGTCGCCTGTCTGTTGTTCTTCAGTCTGTCGTTCTTCTGTCTATTGTTCGTCTGTCTGTTGTCCATCTGTCTGTTGTTC